ACATATTATGTGGCATATGTGGCATGTGTGGCACTGGCATACCTACATAAGAGCATAGTTTATCATGTCCAAGCAGTGTCCATAGTTTTGTTCGTACACTCTGAAACTCTTGGTGTGCTGCGAAGGCATCGAATCAAATTCACCGACATCCTTAACAAAACACAAAACTAAACACTGAAATTACTGCCGTTTTGTAAAAGAACCTTAGCTGCAAACCACATACATATCTTTACATATGTGGCACATACTTCTATTGCGGCACAGTAATAACTGCCATACAGTTTCATTTAACAATGCCTAGCTGCAGATATTTGTGTTGTGGCTGAAGCTATACGAGCGCTTGAAACTAGTGTAAGGCGAAGATGTAAGGAAGGAACTCTGAACAGTGATGTAACGAAGGCAAAGAATGCCGGATAAGTCAAATATTATTTTCCGAGTCAAACTATCTACCTGAAAATTGGCGAAATGTCGCCATTATCAACATGTTCCAAGATCGTCCCAAAGTCAGAAATAGTTCGAGTGTATCTAATTTAAGCTTACGACTGTAAAATTGATGGCACGTTCAGAAAAAGCTAATTTGGATTTCCGAGTCTAGCTATCTACATGAATTTGGCCAGAATAAAAGTTCTAACTAGGGTCTTTAAGAAGTTAAAAATATATGTAACCTGAGTTCTTCACTGCATAATTGATGACTCAATCAGTGCTGAATCATATTTCGATAAATCCATAAGATTGTGGCAATGCAATATATTTTCTTCTCTAAAATATAGAACAGTCGATGCATTATGAACAAGTTTAATTAGGATTTCTTCAATTTGTCTTGAGATTGACATAACTCAGAGGAATAAAGCTTTTTGATCCAAGTAGATATAAGAGATTCGACTCTAAAAGTACCAAGATCAATATAATAACTATTTAGATTTTGAATTGTAATCAAACTTTGATTAAAATTTCTGAGAAAGCCTTGTTGAAAGCGAAGTGTGAAATAAAATAAAAGGATCAAAGCCAAAGTGCTATCATTTTTGCGTCAGGAATTTAAAATATCTCACCATATAGCCCATGGAAGACGGTTGGAACTTAATAATTCGTAAATATTTACTGAATGTCTGGTAGTTTTACTTGCAAAGGTTCTTGAGACTCGTTTCCCGTCTTGGAATTAGCTCAGAAAATGGAGAACTCACGAAATGTAGAATATTTCTCAGATGGTTAAATTAGGTCAAGTAAATAGGTTCAATGTTATGAGACCAAGCATGCTTCCCTTAAGACAGTTAGAAACAACAGTGCATTTTGACACCCAGAACTCCTAAGTATGGATCTTCAGGCCTTCGCATATCGAAAAAGCGCCTAGAGCTAGCTACAAATTTGTTGAGACGGCTCATTTCTATTACAAACAACTCGACGTGTTCGTAGTAAGGCAACCGACAAACTTCAAATGCAGTTCAGCGATAGCTGGAAAATGAAGGAGAAAGTATCTAAATATTTCTACCTCCTCTTCCTCCCTGCAACTTTGACAAGTCCTTCAGAATCTTTAGACTCACTGCGTCAGTGAAGACGGAACAGTTAGGACAGTTATCTTTAGGACCTTGTGGACATTACTAGTAGTTCAGTGAATCTTTCCAGTTGCACTCTGGTTTACAAAACTTTCGTAACCCGACAAGTGCTGATTGGGTCTGGTTGTGCTTTTTTGCAAGATCGCCGGCTTTATAAGTTTCAGACGATTCCGCTGCGGAGAGGTATAAAGATATTATAGAATTTCTATTTCTAGTTGAGATGGCGAGACCTCGACAGGTTATTAAAGTGTCGATTGCGGTTATGTCAATGGAATTTAATGGCATGAAAAATAACCCGATATGGAATTACTCAACTAATAAAAATATTATGGTAGAAAAAATTTATAGAGCTTTGCTTTCCTATATAAGACTGGGGAAATCTTATGTATTACCAAGAAGTGCTTAAATCAAACTATTGAAAAGCTCAGAGTTCCATATTATATAAAAAAGGAAACTCTTAGCACAGTGAACTCCGGTAAGATGCCAATTTTAACCCAACTTGCTCCATCGTACCAAACTTGTTCTCAACCAAACCCGCACTGTGCTTATGTATAGTATGTCAGCAGGCTCCGCAATTGTGGCGCGCTTGTGATAAAGAATGGCAAATTAAAAACAAAAATGAGAAAAACATACACATCGGCAGGTGTTTCATTTCATTTCGTACGATTTCCAGCATAGTCTATGACTATAGCCGACCAGTCAGTCTTCAAGCACCAGCCAGTGCATACAACACTTAGCTAAGAGAGGCTGAATAAATGACTGACTGGTTGACTCTACGAGTCTAGGCTGCTTGCTTACCTAGCTGCCCAGCTGTCTGCCTGCTTATAAGCCCAGTCTGTCGGCAAGCTCGCAATGTAACACGTCCAACTAGTAAGATGAATGGGTGGGCGGTCTTGGTGGTTGCTAGCTTGGTTGACTAGCTGCCTGCCTGGCTAGTTGTTTTAACAACAGCAACAGCAACAACGACAACCAACTCACCCGGTTTACAAGCGTTCACACATTACTGCTGAAACAATGAAGCTGTGCGGGCGTTCATGTCGCTGAAGGAAGCTCGGTCGGTGTATGGTGTTGGCGCTGCATTGGTGTGGCATGTTAGAGCCGGCGCATATAGTTTCATGCTTTGCGCACGTTAGTTTAGGGAATTGCAAATAAATATTTCATCTACAGTTGTAGATTATTATATGCTGCATACAACAGAAGTGTAAGAAGAGTGGAATTTGAAAAAAAAAAGAAAAATAACCAGMGGAAAATTAGCAGGAAAATGCAACAGGATAAATGGCCAAGTGGAGTGTGATTGCATGAGCGGCTACAACTAAATACAACCTACACATCTTCGTTTGCCGTTTGGAGCAGCGAATATTACAGTAAATTTCTCACGGGACTTGAACGCAAGCAACACAGCAACAGCTGTAAAACACCGTCAGTTCTGCGTTGTACAATGCTCTGCACATTCCACCGTTGCCAGCCAACGCGGTCCCAGTGAGTTGGATTCGAATTACTTGTGTGCAACTTTTTGCGTTTCCGCTGGGTCGTCGACTGAAATCAGACATATTTTTAAATACTCTTACATATATTACAAATAATAACGATGTATTTAAGCTGGTAGCTCTATCCAACAGCATACCGCGCTCAATGCATATAGTAATAATAGTACTTGAATATTAATGTTGAATGTTGAAATAACAGAAGCCATTTATTTAGAAGTTGATTTTAATGCAAATACTCCATTTTTGGTCCATTGATAATTTTAAAGCTGTTGCAAGCGCAAAAGTCGAGTACATTTGATTGAACTAGGCGGTCCTTCTTTCAACATATGCCGTTTCTAAGTTATGAAGATCACTACCAGGGTAAAAATATCGTTCGTAAGCATCGCACATCTCACTTTTTTGTTTGGACAGCCCTTTTTACCAAAAAATACGGGGTGAAACCAGGTCAAGATGCGTTCGTGTAGAGTAGGATCGAGCTATCCAGCTCTAGTTCGAAAGAATCGCGGATTTCATTCGCATATTTGGAGCTTCATCTGTACAAAAAAAGTACCGCGTGAGCCAGGTGCAGATACCGTTATGTGGGGCGGAATCCATTCATTAAACTTCAAATGCAAATAAACTTATAGCTTTAGCCAAGGAACTCTGTAGAAAAAACTCTATCCATACGAAATCATATATACATATGTAGGCTACCTTCGTTTATGTTCCGAGATGGATCAAAATCAGGTTTATATCACACCAACTTCTCATATCTTAACTAACAAGGATCTATGGCAGCATATTGAAAAAAGTTACGCCTTTTGATTGAAATTTAGGCTTCTAGACCACTGCAGCGTCTTTTAAGCAGAATTGGGTACCATAAATTCAGCATTCTATTTACTGCTCCGGACCGCAACCTCCTTCAGAAAGTTGAGTGGCTAGTTCAACACTTGGGAAGGAATGTCTAGAGTTCTTACCTCTAATACCTCTTTACTACTGTACTATAGTGATATTCTAGGAATGAACAAGCTTTGTTGGCTTCTTGAGGTTCATTACTGGATTATTGGACCACAGACTAGCTCATCAAGCGTTAGTCAACTACTAGCAACCAAGGAGTCGCAAGGTCCTTCTGGTCCTCGGTAAATTGTAAGAGATGTAGTGAACTTTTCGCTCTCAACAATGTCCTTTCAATGATTGTTGGAGGTCCTAACTGGACACCGTCCGTTCGTCAGAAAAAAACCTCGGCCTTTATAGTTTTAAACAGGTTAATAAAGCAAAGGAAGTTGTTGTCTCGAGCGTTGGTAATGCTAACGAATTGACAGTCATTGACAAGTCCGGGTGCACCCATGGTTTGAACGGATCCAGACTCCGAAACAAAAATAGTGGCTGATAATTACTTCGAACTCTCGTTTTGCTACCGAGTTCACAGTATTTACCGAAAGATGTTTCTGAAGGTTTTTGCAACTTATCGACAACGTCCAAGGGTATGTTTGAGTCTTAACGACTGCACAAGGAAGGAAAATTACAAGATTTTATATCTTCGTAAGCACTTCAATTAGAATATCGGTCCAATTGCACAGAAAGACTTACAAGGATCCCTAAGTTTCCAAGCCTAGATAAATTCATATACCTCAAAACAGGTTCTGAGTAAGACAATCTTGAAAAAATACCTTCACTTCTTAGCTTAAATTTTAGTATAATTAAATTGTACAAACAACCGTTGCAACGGTGTAATCTTTTCTAGCAAAAATTACTATCAACGTAACCACATTTCCTCGAAATATCGGGTAGAAGGAGGGAATATATGTGCAGAAGCTCAATGGAAGTCACTATGTTCGAGTTTATATCTACTTCTCATTGAATATAGAAGATTGTACGGATAATACAAAATACATTTTGTTCACTCAGAACTTTGACAGAAAGCTGAACCAACCTTTCAGCACCAAATTTCACAAAACTTACAAGACTTGCGATTTGTGTTCAATATTTTTTTAATACTCTTTGCATGACTTTTGAATATTCTCATTTTTTACTAAGATTATAGTTTCTGAAATAAAAAGCTGCCACCTGTTCCTGCATGCGACGCTTCAGCTGTTCACGTTTCAGCAACTCTAACAAAGCATTCGAGTTGTCAGGTTGACGCGACTGCTGCAACAAAGCCTGCGCCAAAAGGCGTTCGTCATTTGTAAGCGTGTGTGGTAAATTGTTAAGAACGGCTTCGGTTTCAGCAGACGAGCCGTCGCTGGATGGCTGGACATGATGTACATTTTCCAAGCGCAAATCTTTGATAAAATCTGGCGCATGCTCTTCAACCTCTACGAGCTCCAATGCTTCATCACGTGGGAAGGTATAATTGGGAGCGTTGTAATAATGATAGCTCGGATAATTCGTCGGATTGATAATGATGAAGGAAGGCGAGCTGGCGGGGGCGGCAAAATGTTGATAGGGTTGCTGATATGCAAACTGATTGGGCGATTGATTAGCATACGCGAAGAGATTAGGGAACGTCTGATAGGCGGGCTGCTTAGACTCCAAAGCAATATTGCTTTGTAACGAAGTAGGTTTGTGTTCTTGAATTTTTGGATAAGCGGCATAAAATGCGGGCACTTTTGTTTGTTCGGCCGATGGATTGCCTAACGGATAGCTCGTCACATAGTTCAGTTTCGGTTGTTCGGCGTGGGCTTGCAAGCCACCAGTCAACGCTTCGAAGGCGGCTTGCGTAAATGCTGGTTGGTTTTTCAAGGCATACGGTATATAGATGGGTTTCACATCGACGAGTTTATCTTTACTATGCGTAATAGGGCGCGGCTGTTGTGTCATGACTGTTTGTGGCAGCAAAGCAAACTCAACATTCAGCGGCTGCAATGGATAGTGCGTTTGCCTTTCGCCTTGCAGCGTTAACTTCTCCTTCTGTGAGAGGTACGGATATTGAGACTTTAATCCAGCCGCCGGACTTGTGGTCTTCGTTTGGCGTGTGAAATCAAAAAAAGCCTTGAGTGCTGCAAGTTACGAAATTTTTTAGTTAATTATTGAGTTGTTTAAATATATATAGATCAAACAAATTACTACCATTTTCATCGATATAACGCGACTCCTTCACATCATCAGCCGCCAGCCCATTGAGTAGGGTGCATAGAGTGACTAGCGTCAGCACAAACTTCATCTCGTTTTACTCGGCGACTATTGAATTCTCAACGTTTGTTGTTTAGGTTTTTATATTCTAATTTCTTGTGCAACAAACTATACTTAGAATTCGCTAAAACAGTTACTTTCTAACTGTGTTTTTAATATTCAAATATATAAACCATTTCAAAGAAAGTCTGCATGTACATTGTTGTTGCCTTGTGCTGCTGCTGAGCGCAATAAACCTCACGGCTGAATATTATCTGTGGCTATTTAAAAGAATTTGCACTTTATGACCTGCCATAAAAGTGCGAATTTCGATTCGTATCTCAACTTTTGTTGGTTTTTTCGCTGCTGCTCATCTCTTCTTTGCTAGTTTTATTGCTGCTCTTTACTTGGTGGTCGCTGTATTTTAATTAGAGCTAATGAAGACTTTGTGGGTAGTTAAAGAATTCTAGCACTAGCACTATATAAGTCTATATACACACTACTGTAGAAAACTAAATAGCAATAGGTGGATAAAGGGTTGTCCAGATGCATGTTTATTCAATATTTATACACTGAGCTGAGTATACTAAGTTTCCTACGAAGCTTTCAGCACCCCCCAAGGAAACATACTTGACACGATAAAAAATATGGTATATGTATATGCAGATAATCGGCGTCAAGAGCAGAGTCAACTTAGTAGTTGCATTTTGCAGAATAACAAACACCATTACCATTATAATTACCATTACTACCTACTCTACTACTATTTTCATCAAAATGTAATACCATAACCCAGATTTAAAAATAATAATATAATAATATATTNGAGGAAAACTCCCAGCAAAAACCATAAACAAATCATTAATTCAATTCAGTTTTTTGCCTACTTCCTACCCCCTAAATACGATGAAGTGATCATTTCGATCTTATATTCGTTATTAGGTAACCATCTATTACCTTACTAAATTTCATCAAAATCCGTTCAGCCGTTTAGACGTGAAAGAGCAAAAGTCGCCAGCGAAAACGACTAAAAATCACTAACTCAATTTTGTTATATGCCTACTGCCTACCCCCTAAGAACGATGGTGTGATTATTTATAGCCTATGTCCATTCCTAGGTTATCATTTATCACCATACCAAATTTCATCAAAATCCGTTCAGCCGTTTAGGCGTGAAAGAGTATCAGACAGACAGAGTTACTTTCGCATTTATATATATATGGTCAATGATATTTAAACACCAAATTTTGTCGTGATCGGTCCAGTAGGTTGTAAAATATTGATTTTCGCATACTATTGTGGTTGTAAAATCAAGTATCTGGGCTATTTATTTATGGAATTACTCGCTTTTTGAAGTTTTATAAAGTGCCGTTATATGGGGAGTGAGCGTCACTATTATCCGATTACACCTATTTTCATACTGCTGGATTGGGTGCCCCTCATTATTGCGATTTGGTGTACCAATATAATGTTTAGTATTTTAGTTGAGTGCTAAGTTATGGCACTAAGTGGCCCGATTACGCATTTCTACGACCTCGTATTTTCTATTTTGCCAAGAAACACGTGTACCAAGTTGCATCAATATATGTATGCACCTCAATTTCTGCTCAAGTCACACCTTGCAAAAGCGGACAGACAAATGGACAAATAGAGAGTACACAGTTAATAGTAATGTTATTATACACGCGAAATTATTTATTATATTTTGTCACAATAACAAAGGTAGGGATAAAATTGAAAATGATAAAAATTACAAAACAATAATGATAAAATTTACAAACTATTGACCCGACGGTTGTAAAATTTACATGCGCCTCTTTTGAAGGAATAACTTAAAAATCATACGAATTTAATTTCAGTAGCGCCATCTATGTGTGAGTACGGGACATTTCAATTGATACACAAATCGAGACGTAATTAGTAAAAAGCAGATATTTTAATATTACAAGCAGACACATCAATTTTATTTATTTGTATTTATTTGTCCTAGTCCGTATAATGCATTAACTTAATAGCCATTGTCATATTATTATATATTATTTGCGACAGATGGGCCGTATTTTTGTGGAATTCATTGATTTAGTTTGTCACTTTCCTACTTAGACTTCCAATATCTTATTTCATTCAAACCTTTTAGTAATGCAGAAAGAAAGAGAGAAATAAAATGGAGCAGGTATGTTGCTTTAGTCTTTTGTTGAACAGCGACATAACAGGTTCGAATATTTAGTAAATATTCTGTGCAAGGCGAATAGCAATATTTTCTATTTACCAACATAAAATAGATTATACTTAATTATTAAAATAAATAGAATATAAAAATATATACCTAATCTGGTTCAATTATAATTGCCATTACTACCATTATTTTAATCAAAAGTAACTCGAATTACCATTACAAATATATTACCATTACCATTATAATTGCCATTACTAATCTATTATTTTTAACTTTAAAAATATAATACCATTACTTAATCTGGTACCATGATAAATATAATTACAATTACCATTACTACTATACTATGATAACCTTTAAAAATATAATATCATATAATATAATATATAATAATGGCAATTATAATGGTACCAAATTAATTACCTAATATGGTACCATTATAATTGCCATTACTACCTTTATTTTCCTAAAAATGTACTTCAATAACCCGTTCTGGTACCATCCTAATCAGAATTATAAATACCAATACTATTAGAATTACCATTACAACTCTACTATAACTACGTATAAAATTATCTGTGCTAAAATAATCTGTTATGTTGCCAATTAGCATTACAAATATCATTACCATTACCGTTATAATTACTATTACCATTACAATTATAATTACCATTATTTTCACCTTAAAAATATAATATCATTACCATTATAATTACGTATACTATTCCAATTACCATTACTAACTACACAACTATTACTTTCATTAAAATGTAATCCCATAACCTAGTATGTTACGATGATAAGTAGAATTGCAAACACCATCACCCTTACCATCCTATATAATATGGAAAATTAATATATTAGGCAAATTAACTGTTATGCACCAAATAAATTAACATAAAAAAAATTATTTGGTATTCGTCATGAATGCATTTATTTATAAGAAAAAAATTGAATGGATTAGTTTATTTCATCGTTAAAAAAAAAAAAATCGCGAAAATCAGTGATTTTCGGATGCTCACAGTGAGACGATCCCTTCAATAATTTTTTAACATTTACAGTAATAAAATTAGAGTATATGTGTATCAAATGAATCTATGGGAAGAGTGGAGTGCATATTAGACCACATAATACATCATTACCTCAGTTTTATGTCTAATCTTTTATAATATTGCAATAACATTCAGATTTTCTCATTTAGTTTTTGAGAGGTAGTGGTAAATATTTGAAGCTCGACAAGGATTTTAACAACATGTGCAGCCCACTCACCCACAACTTTAGCGGAGAAAAAAAGAGAAAATGATTGCGATGTAGTACTTGATAGAATGGAATTTGAACTAGCGTCGAGTTATTTTATGATTAGTCGGATATGGGTGCCTAGCCACAGTGGTATTACAGAAAACTKAATAGAAACGTGTACGAGCTCYGTATGCWTCTTGTCGTTCRCTACTAGACTGTTGAGCCTTAGACCAGCTTAACAAGCGTTTCGTCCACTATCTATATCTGTATAGTTTCAAGAACCTACAGACTCTTAGCTCCCAGTAAAGGTCACATTTCAATGATTGCAGTAGTTCTAAATGGACACAAGCTGAATGCACGCTGCATTAGCCATTTGAAGGAACATGAAATCGAATCATCTCTACATTTTTTCCTCAAATGCTCTGCTTTTGATATATCAAAATCAATATAAAAATACCTTGGATTTCATACCTTTAGACATACAGGTAAAATAGCGGAAATAGTAATAAAACATCTGAGGAAATTTGTGATAAGTTCAGTGCAGTTTTGCCCACAGCTGACACCCTACTACAGGAGTTACTAAAAAGACAACAACCAACAAGCGTGAAAATAATAGCATATGTGGACGATCTTATGGTGAAATCAGTGGCTAAAGAACTAGTCGATATGAGAAATAAATGAAATGAGTCTTTAAATGGTCTGATCTGGAAGAACGAATAAAGCCCTTTATAGGGAGTGCGAGATTACTTCACAGCTAAAATATCTTAGAATAATATTGTATTCCAAATTAAAATTTAAGGAAAACCTGGCGGATACTTCCGGTAAAGCAAACAAAGTTTATAATGTTTAATAACGAGAGCACCACAATGTGGCAGTAGCGGTGGAATTCCTCATCCAAAGGGCGCTGGACACACAAACTTAAACTGGGTATCCACTTCTGGATAGACAAACGACACGGTGTCCTGGTTTTAATTATTACCTTTAAAAATATAACACCTTCATTTAATCTACTACCATGACAATTAGAATTACAAATATCATTTCCATTATAATTACATTTATCCGTACTATTCTACTATTATTAACATTACAAATATCATTATCATTATTATCAAATCTTCACCAGTTTTGCACACCAACAAAAATAATTATTTCGGTAGAAAGCTTTAATATTATTTGTAAAAAAACTAAAGTCTCTAATAATTAAATTTATTTCAGTATCTTCTAGTATTCAATAGTTTAAAGTAATTACTTTTGTACTACCCTCTAAGCAATACACACTCTTCACTTTGTTCATTGCCTTTTTTTGTTTAATTTGCGCGCATTTTTCTTGCTCTACTTTTACGCACTCATTTTAACGATCGCTGCTTTTTTATTACACCCATACTCGTAATTTCGATCTTCTGCTGTTACTTGATCGCACGCCCGCTTACGCACACTAAGCAGCATACTTGATGCGAGCAGATCGTAAACGATTTGTGCGAGACATTAAAAAATTCGCAGTTTATTACACTTCTGTTTATTATTCATTACTTTTTTTTTTCAATCTAGTTGAAAGCAGACTAGTTTATTAGCAACAGCTGATTAGCTCGCTGACACAGTTACATAGGAAGTTGAGATATTTTTAAATTATCTTATGAGATCGTTAGCATTTGAATGGATTTAATTAAATTGTTATGTGAAAACATTTGTAGCTAAAAGTGTTTGTGATTACACTAGTGTCTGGCTGAAATAATAGAAGTATTATGTATTATTGCACTAATTGGCCATTATAGTAATTTTTCAAAGTAAATTTAAATAATCGTAATTCTTTTTTTTTTTTTTTTTGCAGGCAACTGAACAACTAATTGAATCATTAGCAATATGTGGCTTAGGTAAGTAAGTAATTAATTACTGTTTTTAGGAAAAAATAATAATTTTAGATATCAAGTCTAAATTAGTAATAACTTTATATGTTACTATGATTACCATCATCTGTTTTTTTTTTTTCATTATCTTTACTAATATCTCTTTAGGTAAAATTAACCATTTTAGCTACTTGTATTAGCTCAAGAAAGTATAAATTGGTAATTATTACCTTTTTTTGATAACTACTATTATTTTAACCATTACCATTACCACTATTTGTATGTAACCATTACCACTATCAAAATTATTTACCAATTTCTTTAAGAAACTTTCCAAAAATATAAATACCACAAGCATTATCATAACAAATAACACACCCAATACTTTACCATTACTAATTGCATTCCATTTATTATTACATATCACGAAAATTGTCATTACAAACTTTGTCATCATTACAATAATTATTATAGAATCTTTTCTAAATACTACTAGTATTAATATCACCATTGCAAATGACATTATCATAACATTACATATATCATTACCATTCGAAGTATTACCAAATACGATTACCATTATAAGAACCATTACTAAATCTTACTAGTAATTATAATTAGTTTCCATTGAAAATCCCATTACTATAAGGAATTACCAAACCATTACAGGTATCATTACCATTATAAGTACCATTACCAAATAGTACTAATAATTGTAATCAATTACCATTAAAAACCGCATCACCATTAGTAAAATTATACTACGAAAATGACCATTAAAAACAACAAGTACCATTACAAAATAATTATATATTTCTTTTTGACCACTACAAACGTGGGTCGGTATGCTTCGAGAAATTTCGCTGGTTGCTTCCATTTTTTACGAGGCCATGTCAGTCTTACATTCCATGCACTTCCAATATTCCACCCATTGGTCTCTAAAGAAGAAGAATCTTTTCAGTCAAGCAAAATCTTACAGGCATACGACATGGGCTAACTAAGCCAATCGTCGCCGTAGAGCTTATATAGTTCGTAGCTCCATATTATTTCCACGGCTTCAAGACCTTGCGGAGAAAAGCTCTCCCGAATGGTCCAAGTGCTTTCTCAACTTCGTTTGTCAATGACCATTTTTCTGCGTTGTTTAGCAGGACGGAAATGAAAAGGATGATTTCGGTTTGATGGCTGATTCAGGGGCACTTGAATTAGTATATGTGAACTGTATTTGTGAACTGACATATTCAATGATATAAGTCAGCAAATCGCCTTCTGGCCAACTCAAAATTCTTCAGACGTTTCATTTCTATTCCCATTTTCTATTCCACATGCTGCAATATCTGAAATTAAAAACTCTCAAGTGTTTAGCATTAATCTTATAAACACGCATCAAGAAAGAAATATTGAAATATTTCCACCTCGTTATCTTTCGTCCAACTTCTACTGCTGGCGTCCGGTAAGATCAATTCAACCTTACAACATTAATGCCGATAGCACAGCCCCTTGCCTTACATATACTAAACAGCTACAGAAACAATTACGGAGTGGCTATCCTTACTGAGGGTAAAGAGCTCAATGTATCTCTTACCATGGATCTTCCTACAGCGTATGATCCGATGGTTGCCCTGCGTTGGCCAAATAGCCACGGAGTTCAACTATCCAGTAATAGTACATACGAGGCGAGGGGAGCACCAAGCCGTTCCCAATCTACTGATAACCGAACTACCTTTGCTATGACCAGAATGATAAAAGGCTTATAGAGCATAATTTTTGTTCGTCGAGAGCGGTTGCAAAGTAGACCCTGTTGAAAAGAGCTATACCGTTTAAGCTTAGATTTTTGGTGGAATTTATGCTGGTTTCGAGACGAGCTAGGTCCGCCACTGTGCATATTCATAGCTGCTGACAAAGACGTAGTTCTCAAGACATAAAAAACTACATACGCATTTCTGAACTTGTAGTAGATGCGTTTTAGTAAAAATCTCTAACCTTAACTGTACAAAAAACAAGTATGCATGTCATATGTTTGCGTGCAACATAAATATTTGGAAATCAATTTCTTTCCCTTGTGTCAGAATATTTGTTTTAAAAGCTCATATTTAATTCATATAAAAGCACTTTAAACGTAGCACATTAGGTCTTGCCCTTGTGCATCACTTCCACACACACTTATAACTCCACACACACACACACAAGCTTAAAAGCGAATCCTTTTACTCCATACGCATTTACGCAATCACGCTTGTTTAAGCAATTTTTGATTAATGGCATTGCGAATAAAGTGACACTTCGAAAATTGGAAAAGAAATCAAGCAGGAAAATCAAGAAAATAAGAAAGTAGCGCGTCGGCAGAAGTGTCCTTAAGCAAAATGCCAGTAAGGAAAGTGAATTACATGTAAAGATATGTAGACAACTAAGTATACGGAATAAGAAATCAAATACAAATAATACAGCAAGAAAAACAAAAAAGACGTAAGATGTGTAAAAAGCAAAATTGTGTAAATGCGGTTGAAACAAAAATCAAATGGCATACTAAATCCGGCAAAACAACTGACAAGTGGACAGGCTGGTAAAAACAAAAGAAATAACAAAAACAAATGTTAATTTCGATTGCACCGCAGCTATAATACCCTTCACCGGTGCACGTTTTAACGCAGAAAATTATATTAAAATAACTATCTTTTGATTTTGATTGTCCTGTTTGGATGACAGCAATATGCTATAGTGTTCCGATCTCAACAATTTTTTAGAAGATTACACCATCGCTTTAGGCAACAATTCGTGCCAAATTTCTTCAAGATATCTCGTTAAATGGAGAAGTTTTCCATACAAGAATTTTATTTTGATGGGTCAGTTTGTATGACAGCTATATGCTATAGTATTTCGATCCGAACAAATTAGTCGCAGATTGCACTTTTATTTTAGGTGATGACCCATGCTAAATTTTGTGAAGATATCTCGTCAAATACAAAAGTTTTCCTTACAAGTGCTTAATGCTGATCGTTCAATTTGTACGGCAGCTATATGCTATAATGGTCATAAATCGATGGCTCCAACAAATCAGGAACTTCTTCGAGAGAAAAAGAGATGTGCAAAATTTCAAATCGATATCTCAAAAAATGCGTAACTATTTCGCATATATACAGGCAGGCGGATAGGTGGCCAAAAAGTCGCTCATGACAATATCAACTCAACTCGTCATAATCTTGATTTATATTTATATTTATATATATATATTATAACGTTTTCGACGTTCCCTACTAGACTTAACAAACTTCGTGACAAACTTAATATACCCCGTACATGGTATAAAAAAGAACAATGACACAAGCATAACATTGGAGACGCCCGAAGATTACGAGCATGGAGTGAAAGTAAAGAGCAGCGACAACTATGAAAAAGTGCAAAAAGGAATGCGGAGCTGTCGAAAGTGGTGGAAAAAGTGCTAAAATTTCTTAAAAACTGTAACATAGGCGCTTACGCCTAAAAGCAAGCCATACACACAAGCATGTGCACAAAAAAGCTATACACTTACGGAAGAGCACGGACAAGGCATTTAGAAAAAGCACAGGAAACAACTGTGCTATTTTGTCTCCCACCAAATTCCTTTAAAGGCAAAATTGTGCAAAAACACCGAAAAGTAAACGAAAATGTAAACGGACGGTACACGAATTGAACCGGAAATCCTTATTGATCTACGATGCTTGCGCAAATAGCGTCGAACAGTAAAAAGAATTAAGCCGACAGCGTTGGGCCAGTACCCATATATATACACAGTACCCATATATATATATAATACGCTGGCTGCCGTTCGTGTGCAAACAAAGCAAAGAAGCGCGCTGCCGCTGCTCAAATAGTTGGGGGTGTTAGTTCCACTTACGGCTTCGGCTGCTTCAGTGAATTGGTCAGCTCAACACTTTATCCAGCGCCAGACAGCTGAGCGTTTGTAACTGCGCATTAGCCGTTACATCTACTTTCTAGGTGGCTCTACTTGTTCCACCCTTTTATCCACTTGACCTGATTGAGCGTCGCCAAAAAAAAAATAAAAAATAAAAAATAAAAAAAGAAACGGCCGAAGCACGGACCAGAAATGTTGGCTTAAGTGGAAAATTTTAACGTGCTGGTGGGGGAAAATATTTTATACGGCTTAACACCCGATACTTTTGTGAATTAAAAAATTTCGCAATATTTTGTTCGCCGTGCTGATAAAGGGTGGAGAAAGTCGGCTTTGGTATATAAAAAAATTGCCCCTAAAATAGCTGAGGACTCGGTGAACATATGAATATTCTATCAGATCGTAACCAGGTGCATCTTATTTGGGTGCCAAGTCACAAAGGTATAGCCGGGAATAAACTGGCTGATGAGCTTGCACGCTGCGCAGCATCCACCAACATGGTCGGTCCCCACACCATAAAGGAACTGCTCTAGAAGGATGAAACAGTGGGTAGGGAGAAGCATTTGCAACAACTCATAGACATGCACCATGCCCAGGTGATAATGGGTAGATAAAATCTTAAAAGGTCTAAATATGTAATCAACATCACAAAAGAAAAACTCAGACCACTTGTCACCTTCTACAGTGAAAATAACTTCTTCTGAAAAGTGCCGGTTCTGCAACTTGGAGTCTAAAACACCGGAACACCTGCTAATTGACTTCACATTAGGCTTTAGGTGTACGATAAAGGCTCTTGGATCACATCGCCCCAATATCACCCAGCAGCATATTGGAATTTATTAACTTGTTGGGGTAGTTAAGACGTTGTGACTTAGGAGAGGGCACAATAAATAGACTCTAAGTCGTGGTATAATCCTCATTTACATACCTAATCTAAAGTCCTTCTTCACTTATTATTCCAACTTTCAGTCCAATATCATGATCTCTCCAATATAGAAGGCGAACTATGGAACATCAATACATATTTATTTCTGATTCGAAGAAACATTTGTTTCAGCAAATAGCGTGTTTCATTTTGAATATCTTCAGATTCGATATCGAAGATTTCAAGCTCAATGCGTTGGTTCGTTTTATGAATTTG